AACTTCTTATTGGAGTTATTGCCCTTAAATGACAAATTTTACCATTTTTTTTTCTTTCATTTTTGCCTATTATCTTGAAAACTATAAGAGTTAGAGAGAAACTTTAAATAGCAAAAGTGATTAGCAAGATAAGTTCTACAAACAAGTCTGCATGTTTGAAATCGTCAGTCGATTCCTTATTAAAGTTATTGCCCTTTGATGACAATTTTTACCAATTTTTTGCGTTTTTGCCTGATATTTTAACAATTATAATAGATAGATAGAAACTTAAATAAGTAAAAATGATCAACAAGACAAGATCTACATTTAAGACAATATGGCGAAAATTTTCAGACGACTCCTTATTAGAGTTATTACCCTTTAATGACGATTTTTCACCATTTTTTTGGCCTTTTGTCTTACATGATAAAAATTATGATATATAGATAGACACTTTAAATCACAAAAATGATCAACAAGGCAAGATCTACTAACAAGTCAAGTTTTGCCGATATAGTTAGAAGACTGTCACTCTTGACGAGTTAATTTTTGCCCTTAAATGGTTTTTTTTTTACCCTATTTTGTGTTTTGAGCAAAAGCTAAAGAAGATAGAGCGAAACTATACAGACTAAATGATCAGCATTACAAGATCAGCAAAACCGAGATTTTTGTCATGAATTCTATTCTCGTCTACAATGTTGGAGAGTGTCCTTTTTAGCTCACCTGTCCCGAAGGGCCAGGTGAGCTTTGAAAATAATTTCTCATCACTTGGCGTCCGTCGTCCGTCGTCGTCGTTAACTTTTAACATTTTGAACTTCTTCTAGAGAACCACTGAATGGAATGAAACCAAACATGGCATGAATGTTCCTTATGAGGTGCTGACCAAGTGTTGTTACTTTGTAGCAAATCCATCAACCAAGACGACTGCCAACGGGGGACTTGGTTTAACAAAGGACCCTATGGGAAATATATACAAATGTCTTCTTCTAGAAAACCGCTTAATTGATTGAAACCAAACATGGTCTGAATGTTTCTTTTGAGGCGCTGACCAAGTGTTGTTACTTTGTAGCTGATTTGTCATTCCGTCGTCCGTTGTCCGTCGTTCGTTAACTTTTTACATTTTGAACTTCTTCTAGAGAACCACTGAATGGAATGAAACCAAACATTGCATGAATATTCCTTATGAGGTGCTGACCAAGTGTTGTTACTTTGTAGCAAATCCATCAACCAAGACGACTGCCAACGGGGGACTTAGTTTAACAAAGGACTCTATGGGAAATATATACAAATGTCTTCTTCTAGAAAACCGCTTAATGGATTGAAACCAAACATGGTCTGAATGTTTCTTTTGAGGCGCTGACCAAGTGTTGTTACTTTGTAGCTGATTTGTCATTCCGTCGTCCGTTGTCCGTCGTTCGTTAACTTTTTACATTTTGAACTTCTTCTAGAGAACCACTGAATGGAATGAAACCAAACATTGCATGAATATTCCTTATGCGGTGCTGACCAAGTGTTGTTACTTTGTAGCTGATCCATCATTCAAGATGACCGCCAGCGGGGGACTTCGTTTAACATAGGACCATATGGACAATACATACAAATGTCTTCTTTTAGAGAACCACTGAATGGAATGAAACCAAACATGGCATGAATGTTTCTCATGAGGTGCTGACCGAGTGTTGTTACTGTGAAGCCGATGCATCATCCAAGATGGCCGCTAGAGAGGGACATAGTTTAACATAGGACAGTATGTGAAATGCATACAACTGTCTTCTTTTAGAGAAGAACTAAATGGATTGTCAATTGACATCTTGTTGGAGTTATTGTCCTTATAAAGTCATTTTCTACAATTTCAATGAATTTATTGGTAATTTCTGTAAACTTTACAAAAGCATTCTGCTATTAATTAAATTACGGGGCCAATATTAAACCAAGTTTATTATGACTTTTTTCTATGCATTAAAAAACTCCATTTTAATTTTTTATTTCATACACGTTCATTGTGACTTTTTTCAAGTGCATTCCAACGTACTTCTTATTATTAATTTTACTCAATCATATATTTTTTTACTGTTACTTATTTTCTTGTGACTTTTTTCCGCTCACTTTTTATCCTGTGACCTTTTGTCCGTTTACCTATACGATATGGGTTTAGCTCATTGATAAACATAATAAAGGCCATACAGTACTGATAGTTGCTTTCCACCATGCACGTCCGTTTGGTCTCTGGTGACAAGTTGTCTCATTGCCAATCATACCACATCGTCTTATTTTGTAAATTATTGTATTAACTTCTAAAGTAAACCATTATTTATGAGGAAACGGGGGGGGGGGGGGGGGGGGGGGGTTAAAGCTTTTCATACATTATGATAGCCAGTTTATTCAGTTAAAATTTACAGAACCCTCTATTATCTTGTGAATTTTGTGGGTGGCGGGTTGGTCATTTCTTGGATATTTACCCCATATCTCACATTATATCAACATCTACAACGAAGAGATAGTGAGAATGCGTCATTTCAGAAGCAGATTCTATCTACGTTATAAGTTTTATGTCTGAAAACGTTATCTCGGAAATGTCATATTTATTGACCCTTTCCTGTTTTTGACGATTATTAGTCTGTATGCAACAAATGTAGACGGAAATGATAATTAAGCGCAAGCATTCGAAACAAATATATTTATTTACTAGTATGATTATTCAGTGATGCCTATTTAATTTTCCGAAAGAAGTTCTCAAGAAGATCAATTTTATATAAAGAAGACAGCAACATTCTAACAGGAAACCGATTAGTCGAGTATCGTTTTGGTATTCGATACTCAGTACTACCGAGCGATACTCGAATACTCGAGTACTCGTTGACATCCCTACTTTAAATACTTTAGTTTCAGAGATATAAACCAAAAACTGCATTTTACCCCTATGTTCTATTTTTAACCATGTCGGTCATGTTGATTGGCAGGCGGGGTCATCGGACACATTTTTTCAACTAGATACCCTAATGATGACTGTGGCCAAGTTTGGTTGAATTTGTCTATGTAGTTTCAGATTAGAAGATTTTTGTAAAAGATTACAAAAATTTACGAAAAATTGTTAAAAATTGACTAAAAGGGCAATAACTCCTTAAGGGGTCAATTGACAATTTTGGTCATGTTGATTTATTTGTAGATCTTACTTTGCTGAACATTATTGCTGTTTACAGTTTATCTCTATCTATAATAATATTCAAGTTAATAACCAAAAACTGCAAAATTTCCTTAAAATTACTAATTCAGGGGCAGCAACCCAACAACGGGTTGTCTGATTCGTCTGAAAATTTCAGGGCAGATAGATCATAACCTGATGAATATTATTACCCCTGTCAGATTTACTCTAAATGCTTTATTTTTAGAGATATAAGCAAAAAACTGCATTTTACCCCTATGTTTTATTTTTAGCCATGGCGGCTATGTTGGTTGATAGGCGGGGTCGTCGGACACATTCTTTAAACTAGATACCCCAATCATGATTGTGGCTAAGTTTAATTAAACTAAACTTGGCCCAGTAGTTTCAGAGGAGAAGATTTTTGTAAAAGTTAACGGACGACGACGGACGACGACGACGACGGACGACGGACGCCAAGTGATGAGAAAAGCTCACTTGACCCATAGGGCCAGGTGAGGTAAAAAGAAGATGTGAGAAAATGCAGATAGCACGGTTTTCAACAGTTAGCAAAACCCTTAGCATAATATGCCACGGTGTGATCAAGTGCGAAACAGTCGAAAAAAGAAAAGCAATGGCCAGTACAGTGTTCTGTCCATATGGACAAAAGCAATACACACAAATAATACAAATATGCATCAAACAAGGACCAAATAATTACTTCGCAAATGACACTAGCTATAATGTCGTGATGATTAGCATTCGCCACAATTATTAAGGACACTTTCAATAGATATTTATGAATAAAGCAGAGTCCTAAGATATCATAGTTAATGTAATAAGGAGGCTGGTTGTTGAAAAAGGCCTTAGACGTTTGCTTATGTTTCCAAATTTCACTGGTTTGATCATGAATTATTCAAAATTAAAAACCATCATCGGCGTTTATCAAGACCGTGATAGATTATACGGGTTTTCTATCCATTCAAAGGGATGTTGGGCAGGCGTACCATAATTACAAAATTTTAATAGCCCTTTTTTCATTTAAATAATATTAATGTAATGAAGATGTTGATCTGCAATGCGAGTCTCTCCTTTACAAATCTGTTGAATCATACTAACACCCAGTAAGAAAAACATTCCGGCAATTCCAACATAGAGTTTTACAACTCAGATGTTTAACTGTTTAGTTCTTTAGAAGTAAATTTTCAACTTCTTCATTAACCCTCTTGAGCTCGGGTTATTTTTTAGTGATTACATAAAGAATTCCGATTCAATAATATTAATTGCTGATCATTTGTAGAAATAAAGAGAACTCTGTTTTTTTAAAGGTAACGTGTGGTTTTCTCATGTTCTCGCTATGGATATACTGATGCTATAGCGACAAAGAGCAAGAACAATTTTCATCCTTCTAAAATTCATTTCAACGACAAATGACAAAGTTGATAAAGTTTATTAACAAGGAAAAAGGCTTATGAAAAAAGTGTCTGAATGAATCAAAAAGCTTTTACATATCATAGATATAAGAAGATGTGGTATGAGTGTCAATGAGACAACTCTCCATCCAAGTCAAAATTTATAAAAGTAAACCATTATAGGTCAAAGTACGGAATTCAACACGGAGCCTTGGCTCACACCGAACAACAAGCTATAAAGAGCCCCAAAAATTACTAGTGTAAAACCAACGGTCTAATCTATATAAAAAACGAGAAACGAGAAACACTTATGAACCACATCAACAAACGACAACTACTGAACATCAGATTCCTGACTTAGGACAGGTGCAAACAATTGCAGCGGGTTTACACGTTTTAATGGTACCAAACCTTCACCCTTATCTGAAACAATAGTGTAACATCACAACATAGAAAGACACACTATAAAATATCAACTGAAATGGCTTTATTAACTCACTCAAAGAACATATTAACACCAGTGAACATACACTGAACAAATAAATTTGATCTATGATACAATGTAAATACAAAATAAATAAGCTAAGGGAAGAATAATAAAAGTAACATGTTATACCGCTGTGAAATGTTAAACAATTTAAGAAAAACAATATGTTCGAACAAAAATATCAGCCATTTACAATTCAAGAAAAACAATATGCTCGAACAAAAATATCAGCCATTTGCAATTACTTTAAACACAGGTAAATGAAAATAATTTTGTTGTTAGGTATACGTGTACAGTTCAAATAGAGAAAGGAAATATTTTTACAAAATATATAATTTTGATGTTCATAGTACGAAGTGAAAATTTATAGTAATACATGTATATATTGAGTTCAATTTTTTCCCCTTAAAGTATTAACTTAGTAGTTCAACCGGGAAAACATAACCATTGTTTGTGCCTACCCAGACAGTATAATTTTGATCGGCTGTTACACTCCAAGCCTCTTGATCCTCAAGGGACACAACCCGTCGAAGTCTTCCTTCAGGTGAAAGCCAGTGAAGACAGTTTGTAGAAATGTCTACAACAACTATGTCACCATTTTCAAAACAACAAACTCCACGTGGTATGAATTCCTTTTCTGAGTCAACATTACCAGAATAATTTCCAATAATTCTGTCCCCATTACAGATAAAGACAGAAAGTTGTATCCAATCAGAAACGACAATGCGTCGATCTTGACCAATCGCAATTCTAGCTGGATACCTGATTTTGCTGTCTTTAACTACTCTCTTAATCTTATGTGTCTTTGATATTTCAGTGACATATCCAACTTGGTGCCTGTCGAAGAAAGTACCTTTTTCTGTCATTCCAGTTATCAAATTCTCGTCGAAATCAATTGCAAGTCCCCGTACACAAGAACGTGTCTCAGCAAATGTCTCCTTAATTTCTTTTACAAGTTTGAATATTCTTTTCTCTGAGTTTGAACTAATATAAAGAGATCCATTTCTGGCTGCAACTAAATCGTCAATTGGATGATGGAAGTTCTGGTGTCCAATTCGAAGACCGGTTGTGGTAAAGGTTTCAAGAATACCTTCACCTCCGAGACAAACACAAACAGACCCGTCTCGTAGTAATGTCAGGCCAGTAACTGTACCTTCTGAACACCAGAATGCTTTTTTACTGCGTGTAGAAGATGACACATCAAATGAACGACGTGAGCGAATTGAATTAATTCGGTGATCTTCGTCGGAGTAGGAACGACGAAATTCTGAAAGCCTGGAAATGGATTGAATGTGTTTTGGTCTTTTATTCAATTTATCAAATATTCCAAATATTTTCTCTATTTCAAAATCTGTAATGCCAGTTTGCGATGGATAAAAGTTTTTAAGCTTAATTTCCGAAATTTGAACGTCCATTCTCTGTAATTTCTCAAATTGTCTCTGAAGTTTCGGTGTATGGACTACAATATCTATATTGTAGGCGTGTTGTAAAAATATATTTCCCAACTTTAGAAGTTCTTCAATTGCAGCTACATTCGTGTTCAGAGTGTTCATATTATCTTCTAGTTGTTTCATGTTTTCTTCATTTTCGTTAACAACTTTCCTTACAAATTCGCCGCGTATCTCATTAATTAGTCTATGTAATTCTTTCGTCCGTTCATCAATCATGGCGATAACATCTTCTTGATACGCTTTGATTTTTCGTTTCTGTTCAGCAACTTTATTTTGAAAGTCAGTCGCATCCGTATTCGATGTGACCCTTTTCAGCGATGTTCCAAGTTGCTCTCTCAAAATGGTAGCCATACTTGCAATATCTTTACTGCGATGAGTTTTGTGTTCCGTTGTGTTACACGAGTTACAAATAGGTTTCTCGCATGTATCACAATAGTATAAAAGTTCTTCCTTTGTGTGTATAGAACATGTCCTTATCTGTTCTCGTCCGTTCCCTAGACTTATGACATTATGATATCTAGATCCTTGCATACTTATATGGTTTATAAGACAAGATTTACACAAATTTTTATTGCAATCTCTGCATACCGAATCTGCTTTTATTCTATGTTCGCAAAGGTCACAGTTTGTTGGACAGCTACTGTCACTGATCTTTATGTATTGGTTTTTCGGTAAACCTCTACCTCCATTGACAGGAACAATGTTCATCTCTTTACAAAGTGGACATGGGAAGTTTCCATCCTCATAGTTGACCATCAGATACTCATCTAAACAAAATCTACAGAAAGAATGGTAACAGTTGAGGAGTCGAGGATCCTTGAAGTCCCTTTTACACAGCGTACAAAAGTAACTCATCCTCGTCCGTCGCTTATTCACACCTGCTTTCAGTTTTCCTATGAATTTCATACTGTTTAAAGTTAATGAATCCATGTTACCACATGCAGTTTTAACGTAATAAAAAATTATTCAATTGTGCATCTGATATCACTAGAGACTTGTCAACATGAATAACGAACAAAAAACTATCTCCGGAAAATATATACTTGGCATTTGACCCAATTAAAACGCCTTTGTCATTCATAAAATCAACTTTAAGTTAACATACTACATCAATATTAATAACCCAATAGTATTTATCTTCTTTCGTTACGAGGATTTAATCAATATTAAATGGGGAATATTATCGCTCTCGTATGGAATATTCATATTCATCGTTCATCCTCAATTAAAAGTAATGGACTTCAAAGTGGTTTTGCAACCCGTATGACAACAAAACATATTGTTACTAACAACATGTCTTTGCTTGTTTTTTTGTTTTAAGTTATTCTACTGAAGCTTTTTGAAGTTTATTGTAAAATGATTCTATTAAAACTGCATCGCACAACAAACAAGTACTTAATGAATAGATGTAATAACGGATATGTTATTTAAAACACTATCGATAAGTAATTAAAGCAGTTAAAAGGGTGCACTATTTTAATCATTACTATGATTTTTTCCTCTAATGATTTTTATTCTTTTTTATGTGTTCAAGTTTATCAAATACACAACTGTACAATTCTTCCATCTTTAGTGCCTATCCATATCCCGTCATGGTTGTCAACCGTGACGCTGTACGGTTCACCCATTTTACCTTTACTTTCTACGGTTCTTTGAAGGTTGCCATCTTCGGTTATCCAGTGAAGGCAATTAGAAGAGGTATCAACAGTTATAAAACTTCCATCGTTGGTTGAACAAATTCCTCTGGGAAGAAAATGTCGGAAACCATTTCTTTTTCCATCAAAAAAGCCAACTGTTTTATTTTTCTTGAAAATTTTGACACACAGACCTATCCAATCTGATACAGCAATAGCACCAGTATGATTGACAGCTACACGAGCTGGATACTGCACAACATCGTCACCGTGTAACTTGTTTACGGTTTTCTCTCGTGAAATAAGCGTCACAGAACATACCTGAGGATAGGTGGAGTCAAAAAACACATCACGTTCTGTCAAACCTACAACAATATGGTCGTTCTTATCTATTGATATTCCTCTAACACACATTTCTGTGTCAATAAAATGTTCTCTTTTGTTTGATTTTTTCTTGTTAAACATTATTATTTTCTTTTCCGCATTGCATGTTACATAGAGGATCCCATGACTGTCTGACGCAATTGCGTCTATTCTGTGTTCCAATCGAATTTGCGCCTTCTTCTGGCCATTATAGCTGTATCGTTCTAAGACACCATTGTTGCCCATACAAATCCACAAGCTGGTGTCTGGCATGAATTCCAAAGATGTTATAGTGCAGTCTTCTAGAGAGCTGTGGAAAGACTGAACGATATTAACACCACCAGTGAATGAAACATCGTACTTTGCGGGATTAAAGAATCCGAAGAGCCTCTTAACATCATTTAGTGATACATCCTTCGGTATAAATTCAATCTTCTTTAAATTAAGTAGACCAGTATTACCGTACTCTGAATTGTATAACTTTTCTTTTAAGAAAGGCCCATACTTGATGACATCACAGTGATTGGCATTTTTTATGAAAAGCTTGGCAAATTGGTTTAAGTGATTAACCGCTGCACATTTTTTATTAACAACACCTGTGTTATCTTTGATTTCATTCTTATAGTCAGAGAGAGCTTCTAAAAGCTGACGGACAAAATCGTTGTGGACATCATCAACTACACGTTTAAACTTTTCTGTTTGTTCATTTATTGCGTCCATTACGTCATTTTCATCACGATCTAGTTTCTTTTGTTGTCTAGCAACCTGTATTTTATAATTGTTTGAATCAGGCAATTCTCGCAATTTTTGTTGATATGTATTGATGTTATCCCTATACATGTCGGCTACGGAAGAAACGTCCTGGATTGAATGAGATTTGTGACCATACTTGATACAAACTTCACATAAGACTACATTACAAGAATCGCAAAAATATTCCAATTTTTCATTAGCATGTTGCCTGCAGGACGGTAAACGAGGTTTTGATATTGACTGGATTGGATGGACGATATGTGAAGAGGAACCTTGCATTTTTTCATGTATATCTATACACTTGCGGCAGAAGTTTTGATCACATTCACGGCATTTAGACACAGCATACTCTCTTTCGTCGCAAACGTCGCATTGTATATCTCTAAGTCTAAAATCCTTTTCTAAGAATGTATTGATGGGAAATCCTTTGGAGCCGTTTCTTGGGACTTTGGTCGTTTCCTGACATAAAGGACATTTTAAATTCCCATCTTTATACTCAGCTGCAATAACGCCATCAATACAACGTCTACAGAAAGTATGAAAACATGGAAGAAGTCGAGGGTCATCAAAATCGTATATACATATCGAACAGCTAAGATCGGCAAAACTTCTTGAAAATCGGGACAACGCCATGTCTCAACAAGTGAGATGTAATTTAAAATGACACCAAATGACTAAAAAATAGCGAAATACCGTTTTTGTCATGCATATATACCCTCTTTGGAAACACTACATGACGTCTCTCTAATTCATTTAGGTAATTGAACATGCTTTCTGAATTGGACGATTTGTAATTTGTTTTTCTTAGAAACTTGAATTCTATATTTATATGTCATTGAAATAATGATTTTCTACGAAATTTAAATTCAAATATCAATATTTCATTGAAATAATGAATTCAACCAAACAGCATTTGAGAACTTACCGGATACTAGCTACGTAAAATGAGTTTTAATTAATAATTCATAAAAGATCATTATTTTTATTCTAAACAGCTTAAGGTTTCTTTCTGACTTTCCTACATATTACGTTTTCTCTTGGGCATTTGTGAATCTTTCTTGTTTATTGAATGTAACCATGTGTCAAAACCATAAGTGCAACATATGACGCAGGATATATATTTAATTTTCAGCGATTTTTATCTTTACTTTTTAGTCAATAAGCTGTTTCCTTTTACATTCAAGGTTATCTTTGATTTTCCATGTATCAATTTATGGAATGGCTTTAATACTTTTACTTTTTAACGGTATACTGCAAATATAAGGGATAATTCAGAACCTAGGGACGCGGGGTTAATGTATCATTCTCTGAAATGAAACCTGTCTGTTTTCCGGATTTGTAGTCAACTTTGTTAATGTTAATACACCGTCAAAATTTCATGTTTGGTTAAATTTCTTCAAAATACTGGTCTGGTCATCTGTTTTGTATATTGCCCTTTCATACTATTTTAAACTGCTAGGTTTTCTTACATATATTTCGATGTGCCCCGTGCTGTCTATCATTTGTTTTTCAGTTTTATATGTATTGTCTATCATTTGTTGTTTCGAAATTATTGGTTCTTTGTTGGGCAATGTATGACAAATATATGTTGAAAAACCTAGCCCGTAATTATAATTATGTAATTCATTGACCGCTCCCGACATGTGTAACTTCAAGGCATATTTTAGCGGCGATCGATGTCATTCAAAATTACTGCACTTTTCTTGTATCCCTGGTGCGTTCGACTGGACAACTGTCGTACACAAGCATAGCACAAGTTGGCACTCCGAGGCAGGTGGGGAGCAAGAAGGTGAACTGTGGTTTATTTTAATCAATAGTACCGCTTAAGTCGACGCTAGGGGCCGTCTTGACCTTGTTGTAGGGTATGAATGATTCGTTCATTGTTGAAGACCCTACATCAACTGTCAAGATGAAGAACAGGAATAAAAGCCCTGTTCATTGATAATTTTCTATGTTTTCTATGTATTGTGTGCGATTTTGTCCCATGTACATTTACTCCATATCCTTTCATTTTCTTTTGAATTGTTATAAAGCTTTAGTGGGGGTCTTAAATCGGCAAAAGACAAATATGAGCTCCTATAGATTGGTAAATGGCCACTTAATATTGTTTTCACTATTATCTATTTATTTATTTCTTGGAATATTTTGTCCATTGCTTCACTGCGACGTACATATATGTGATGCATCTTAAACTGTTACATGGAAGAATAACTTTCTGGATGATGATGATGATGATGAAGATGATTATGATGAGTCCAGTGGCAACTATTACATGCGTACTCAGGACGATGATAGGTTACTGCAACATATTACAGTAGGTTTTCGAATAGATTACATTTTATCAAGGCTGATCTTTTATTGACTCATTTGATTCCGTCATATGTTTTCGATTTTCATAAATAACCAATTTGTATGAATAAAAACCTGTGATTATAAAATTATTTTCTCCGCCAACCCAATAAATCACAAATATTTTTACTTATATTTCGTGTATCGTGCAAACAGTAATTCAGTAACTGCGACTATTCTTAGATCAATGCTTTTTGTCTTTTGTTTTTATGTTAGTTGTTAGTATTATTCAAGGTTACAAAGAAAAGAAGAAAAGAAAAGTTATAACCTTGAACCAAACGCACTTATCCAAAACTTTGAACATAAAAAGCTTATTTATACATTTCGAATAAGGGATCACATTTAAGCGATAGAAACTGGTACATACTGAAAAATTCTATGAGATTTAAGACTTTGAACATATTGTAACGCCCTAGAAGACAATTCCATTTCCTCTTTTAATCTATAATTTACGACAAGTAAGAACAGATAATTTATTGAAAACTGATATGATAGCATAGTACAAATACTTGACGAGCTATATGACTAAAAGAGGAATTAAATGGATAGCCAAACCATGTAAGGTCAACTTTGAATGAGTAGTTCAAACCTTAGTTCAAACGTTCAAAACTAGAAGTGGTTATTTTTTTTTACCAATTGTTAATATCTACAAAATATAGATTACCGAAAAATTGGTAATCATTAACAGGCACTTTTTTGGTAGAATTTGGTCGATGACTAATCGATGATTAATTGCTTGGGTGTATTGAGAAGAAACATATTTTTTTCAGTACTAAATCTGCTTACTTAACAAGTAAAATTGTTAAAAAAAATAAAGTTTTCTTTTATCTTCATGATTGATGAAATATATAAAAGACCACATAAAAATGAAGTTTGGTTACCTATTGGATGTATTCGATGTATTTGACAATTAACACATAACCACAATGGAAATGAGAACTGCTATATATAGAAATTTTCATGAGTTAAACGTCACATCTATTTTTATTTGAACATTGTTCCAGTCTTGACAAGTAAGTTTTAGAAAACTAAAATAAGCATCAAGGTATGAGTTTTATGAGTGCTATATTTTCAAAAGAAAATCTTCACATCATAAATACTATAATCTTGCAATATTTGCAACTGACAAGATTATTTTCAATTTCTATAAGAGGTTTTAAAATTGATAGAAGTTGAAATGAAATCTTAAAAAATGTCAACTAAACTCCGGAAAAAATGTGCTAACTAAGTATTTGAGTATTTAGAAAAGTTGTACTTGTTTTCCAGTCATTTGATTGCATGGATGTATTTGTTTATGGAATATCTACTCTTGGTTAAATATTTTTTACATTGAAAGGGTCATTTATGTACATTTTTTCATGAAACTTCACATGTAAGTTGGTATGAAAATTATCTT